ATGGTCAATCAAGATTAGCAGTTAAAGAAATCAATACACGAACAGAAGAGATTTTGGCAATGGGAGAGAAAGTCTCTTCATAATCAATCTCATAGGTCTGAGTAAATCCCTTATCACAAGACGACTTTGAGACGCTCCACAGAGCCATTCGAATTAAACTTAATAGTATACATCCAATGACACCCCATAGTCCATTTACCAGGAGGTAAAGGAACAAGATTCCAAATCTCATTATGATGTAAGACATCCATCTCTACCTCCATAACTTTCCTCTAACTCAGATCAGACAACGTATCCTGTAAGTGTAGGAGTAGAGATAGTAGACAGTTGAGAGATAAAATAAGAGAAAGTAGAAAACAAAGCATCATATGAAATAGAATGAGTAATGGGATGATTAATAACACACGAACGAGTGCCCTTTTGAAGAACAATAGTTAAAGAGTTAGAAGTACCTGATGAACTAGGATCTGGAGACGGCAAGGAAGACGATACGGGCACTTCAGTCGATGGTTGAGGATGATGAGAATATACGCGGAGTGTAGAAGTAGACGGTTGCATAGTGGACAGGAGAATATCTAACGGTAAGGTAAGAGGTGGTGGTATAAGAGATGACCCAAAATCCATATACAAAGGCTAAGTAAGTGCCAAAAAATATGGAACCAATTCATTAAAAGCGACATCAACACCGGTAAAGTACCAACAAAAGAAAGGATTATAGCAGCGATATCCCTTCTGTGTGCGGGAGTATCCTAGAAAGACATATTTGATAGCACGAAGGTCAAGTTTATTAAACCCAGGGCCCACTATGTGAACAGAGATGACGAGGTCTGTAGAGGCCAAGTAGATGAATCAAAGTCAAAGTAATAGAGACCACCAACTTGACGCCCTGCACCAATATTCCTCTTCGTCTTGAGATCTTGAAACACACAAGAAGAGGGATAAAATGTTATAGAACAATTAAGAGAACGAGTAATCTTGCTAATGGCAAGAAAACTGAAGAACAAATAACGCGGAGATTAGGGACATATTCAGACTCAATTGAGTAGTCTCTAAACCTGAAACTTTATAAGAAGAAAGAGTAGATTGATAGGTAAAAAAGACATCAGACGCACCAGTCATGTGGTCAAAAGCGTCAAAATCTATAATCTAGGGACTACGAGTGGAAGACAATAAGCAAGTGAAAACGGTACCTGATTGGGCAAAAGTAGCAGCGAAGAAAGATGGAACAACCTGTTGCTAAGATAGGAACTGAGCATACTCCTCCCATGTAAGAGTAACTGACCCAGAATCAGGTGGAGTAGGCCAAGGTATAGAGGCAGGAATTGAGATGTCATCTTGATAAGAAACCTGGGTAGCAACACCCGAAGGCTTGCCATGTAAATCTCAGCAATAATCAATAGTGTGGCCTCCACAACCACATTGAGAGCATGAACAAGACCTTGACAGCCCTCCACGACCTCTAGTACAGCCTCCCCCACCTCCGCGACCACCATGGTTACTATGGCCACCTCGGGAACTGTCATTATAGCCACTCTGAACAACAAGAGCTGAACGATCAGCAGGCACACCAGACTCCTATTTGGTTGAACCGGTAGAGAAGGTAACACACTGCAAGTGGGAGAAAACCTCTAGTAGAGATGGAAGACTAGAGCCACCCAAAATCTGAGAACGAATAGACTCGTATTCTGGATCCAAACCAACTAAAAACTAGACAGCATTCAAATTCTCATGTTCTTTTTGTCAAACCACTGCATCAGTAGTAAAGGAGTCACACACTCCCCGAACATGAGAATAATAGTCCTCAAGACTCAGAGTACCCTGCTCTAGCCGAAAATACTATTTGCATACTTTATATGCACGAGTGAAATTAGTGTCAGAATACATAGTGTCCAAGTGATGTTAGATCTCTTTGGCTATGTCGAGAAAAAGCATAGTAGAACTGATACTGGGCTCAATACTATTCAATAACAATGAAATAATATGTGCATCTTCTTGTTCCCATTTATCATACGTAGGAGTACCTTCCTTGGGTTTAATGTTCACTAAATATTTCTTAAAGCCTTTACCTCTAAGAAATATTTGAACAGATCGTGACCTCAAAACATGATTGGTCTCATTGAGTTTAACAGATATCATGGGACCATTAAGTAGAATCGTAGGAGAAAAATTCGGTGGCATGGGTGGAATAAGATTAGCCTGACTATCATCATTTTATCCTTGAGTTCCATAATAGTATAGCAATAATAGAATCAAAGGAAAAAGGAGAAAGACCTATATTTTAGTGAACAGTGGACGAGGTACCTGAACCGGACCAAAAGTAATGGTTGAATACCAGAACCAGGTGTGACACACCTGTTTGATGGATAAATCGGACCAGGGAAAGCTGTTGGATGCCTGAACTAGACAAGAAAGGCTACTGACTGCTCGAATCGGGCCAAGAACACCTTCTAAATGTCTGAACCAGACAGGAAAATAGGAGTTGTACTACTAAACCGGTTTGAACTAGCCTGGAAGAGCTGAACAATGATGAATCGGAATTGAATCGATACTAAACTAGATTAGATTGAGGAGAACCGAGAATGAACCGGTCTGCTGCTGGACTAGGCTGACTATCTCAACTGGGCTGGGCTGAACTGAACTGGACTAGGATGTCTCGGACTAGGCTCAAGAACAATCCAAAATCTTTTAGCCAAACTGACTCTCTAAGGGTCGTCTTCTCCACTACTAAAGTTTCGACGAATCCCTGTTACTCATTGTGTTGCCTCAATGTCGCAAAAAATCGTCAACAGTGTAACAACACTCCTATACTAATGCAACTATTATGCTGCCACAACAGGTCTCCGACGACTAGTACAACCACCACCAACGATGTAACAGTTCCACCGTCGACATCGCAATAGTTCAATCACAACCATCACTGATGATGCAATACTACCTAGGGGTGTAACTCGGGCGGGTTGGACAGGTTGAGAGGTCAACCATAGCCCAACTCTAAGCATATAATCTTTAACCCTAACCCTATCTCAACCTGAGGTACTTAACCTGAGTATTGCCCGAGTTTAATTCAGGCGGGCTCGGGTTGAATTCGGGTTAATTTTGGGTTAAAAATCGGGTTGGGCTTGAGTTACTTAATTTGGGTTAATTTTTTCAAGTGTAAATCTGATTTTTTCAAGTGATCTGAGATGAAGGGCGAAGCACAGATAAAGAGAGAGGGAGTGAGAGAAGGAGGAGTGACAACTGAGAGAGGGAGGCTGAGAGAGGTAGGAGTGAGAGAATGAGAAATGACGAGTGAGAGATGAATCTGAGAGTGATGGAGGCGCAGAGGTGAAGACTTGAAATAAAATGAAAGTTTAGACTGTAAAGAGTGAAGATAAATACTAACTGTAATTAAATATATTTATATATTTATGTATATTCAGGTTCAACCCGATTTTGATATTCAAGTTGAACCCAAAAATTCGAGGCTTGTCCAAATTCAATTCAGGTTGGAGTTTTTTTGCCCATGCCTAATCCAAGTATTAAAAATTTTAACTCAAATCCTATTTTTTTCGGGTTGGACTCAGGTTGAATTCGGGTTAGCCTGCCACACCCCCTCCTCAACAAAGTACGATTAACCTCCACACCACACCCACACTCGTGTGGTTATTAAACCAACACCCATGACCGTGGTTCTTACAACCAAGCCAAGAACGGCGAACAAATCAGAGAAGAAGAAGAAAAAGAAAAGAAAGAGAAAGAAAAGGAAGAAAAAGTTAAAAAATCGAATAGTTTTTCAAAGGATTAATTTTGCTCTTATATCATGTTAAGTTTAGAGAGTTAACACAATATTAAAAAAAGATAGAGAGTGGTTGAAAATTTGATCTACCTCTCACAAACCACTTGTATTTGTATTAACCTGTAACCATACGAAAGACGTGTATACCCTCTAGTGGTATACTTATTATAACGAACTAATATTTATCTAATACCTTAACCATCTTAACAGAGTAGATGGTTGTTTAACAATTAGGTTATCATGTACACTCTCATACACTGAGCACCATGGTTGATGATGGTAGTGATCACATGAGAATGACTATCAACATAACACACTCATGCAAACTTTCGTGAATATTTGAAATCCATCCCTCATAGTTCCCCTTCATGCATTCTCTATGCCATTAGTTTCACTTTTAAACCGGGTGTGATTCCATTTAGTTCAAAAAATTTAATGCCTTAAGGGCTGGGTAGCCCTTATTTGCACATTAAAGAATTTTGAGCTTTTCATGGCCAAACCAGTAGTTAGATTGAATACATTTTCTTTTTTCCCTTAAGGACAAGGCTAAGACTTGGTTTATTCTTTGAGTCCAAGGTCAATAGGCACACCGAAAGAGAACCAAATCTTTGAAAATGAATTTCCAAGTCGTTGAACAAAATCTCCCAAAACAAAAATTTTGGGTTTTTCCGAAAAGGGAAGTGTAACTTTTTATCGAGTGGCCTTAGTGCTAGGATTGCTACTTCCGCTCGGAAAATAGAGATGGCCATGTAATTTAGAAAGGTAATTGAAATTCATTCCGTTCAAAAAGGGGATGTTTGTGGAACTTATTCAACCATGAGACCCTGACGCAGGAGTGTCGAACTATTCCCGTTTTCAATGAGGTTTTACATAGTCAAGCAAATGCCATAAATAGTTCTAAAGAAGCATTTGCCATCTCCATATTCTGAGATCTATATTCTAAGATGGAGAAGTCACCCAAATTTCAATTGGTGGAATGATAATAATGCATGACCACCATCACCTCCTCAACGACCTTCCAGTTTTGTTTCTTATCTCTCACCTCATATGAACTTTCTTGATGTAAGATTGTGCACTTTCATGCAAGCATATGCAATAATCAATAATCAAATCTCACAAGCCTAACATTATATGAGGAATATCCTCACGACATTATGGGTTTACTCAAATGCAACATCTGTTATGGCGATTAACACTTTGCAACTACCAACAATATTGATATTTGATGTGGCCAAATTGCGACAGTGACTCAGGTTGTTGGCCCAATAAGATAATATTATCCAGTCAGACGAACCAGCCTATTTGATATCGTGATTGCTTATTTGTAAAGGAACCAAGGGGACTCAATTGAAGGGTCAACTAGTGGGAGGAATCATTAACCAGTTTGTCTTTCTCCGAGTCAGGGTGTCTGATAATGGAAGGGGTGTCATGGAACGAATAAAAAGGTCTCTTCTAAAATTGAAAGGAAAGTCCACAATGAAAGATGTTGTCAGATTAATTGCTTCAGCTAGCTCCTTCGATTGAGATAGTTTGTGTTAGAATTGACATAGTCTGGTATAGAATTGTTTTCCCCGCTTTTTTATGGACCATATTAAGTTTTTGAAGGTTGAATCTGTTCTTTTTTATGGTTCCTTTTTGTTTTTGTGTATTCTATCTTAGTTTGTTTCGGATATCTCGTTCTCCATCTGAATTTTATTTTTCTCTCTTTAAAAATATTCTTTTATCTGAGAAGTAAATAAGAAATTAAAGAGATGGACAACTTTTAAAATCTAAAGCACCAATAAAAACGTGAAAACTTTATTGTTGATTAGATCATCCGTGCATTTCATGTGCCTCCAACAAAAACAAACTAGTAAACTCTACATAACAAGAATCATTTTATTTTTGTACTTTCGGAGATATTAGAATTATACCACTCGGGCTATTTTTTTCCTCCAGTGAACCACTTTTAAAATGCAGAATGCAAACAATATCTGGTCTTTTAAAAATGGAAAATCAAATTTGAAGAAAGGAAGTTAAAGTGAAGCTACTTGATATTGCTAGCTGATTAGTGCCACGATACTGACAAGCTACTTTTCGGTATCATGTGTCCTTTTTTTGTTCAATGACGGCCGGACACTATTAAAGTCTCGTTATTTTACTATTGTACTTTTTTTTCTTCTATACATGATCACCGGAAATAAATAACTCACACAAAAATCCATTGCTGAAAATGATTTATTGGTATCGTATCGGCTTTTTTGGGTATGGTATTGAAAGCTTGTATTTTAGTGCCACAGACATGGTTTCCATTCTTTTATGTTTATCTGATTTGGCAGCTTTAATGGATGGCTGCAAGGATGAACTTTGCAGAATGAGTAGCAGATTTTTGTTGTTTTGGAACATGAATCTTTTTGAAAGAATGATCTGAAAAATTTGAACTGTAATTTGATTTATCCTTTGTTCACAGGAACTTGAGATATAACAGGCTTTCTGGATCTATACCTGAAACATTTAAAAACTTGACACTTCTCTCAGAACTGTAAGTAATTTTACTACTTTACTTGCACAGCTTAGTTTCTGGTAGGTTCTTTGAGGATATTTCAGAAACATACCCTTATCACTAGCATTTGGCCATCGTCGTCATCATCACACATGGATAAGAAGGGAGAGAGGAAGGGAAGGGACGAGTGATGGTTTCTCTAATTTGCAACGCATATCTAAGTCCCACATAACTACATAGATATGGTGGGCCTAGAAGGGCATGCTTATCTAATTCTAGTTGCTGATGCTTGTAATTTTTTGTTTGATTCTCATCGGGAAATTATGATGAACAGTGTCCTTAGCGATAACTATTTGGAAGGACCCATACCTCTTTTCCTTGGTGAATTGAAGTCATTGCAAGTGATGTAAGTCAGCCGCAGACATTTCCTCCATTAGATTGTATCCTGATACGGTTCTTTGTGATTGATTGTTACTGATTGCTACATCAACAAGTAGCTCTAAAAATTGCACAAAGTCTTAAGTCTTCAACTTCAGAGGGTTCTAGATTATTTGATGCCAATGACTCCATGAAACTGGTTAGAAAGCACCAGTACCATCAATTTCTCCAAGATGTAATCTTGAGCAATTTGATTTTCAAATCTTTACCTTGATTTATTAATTATTATCATCCTTTCTAATTAACTATTTCTACCTGTGTGGTTTAGACTTTTTCACCTCCTTTCAAAGAGAGATGAGTTATCACTTTGTTATCCATTATAAATGCACCCGTTTTACATCAGTTGAGATGGAAACTCAAACAGTGCCTGAGATAGCATTTCCTTTTAAAGTATTTTATACTCTAGAGGCTGCTTTCATGGAAACAATCATGATAAGGAATAAGTCTGCTTAACATAAAGTTGACCTGCCTTTTGAGCATACCTTTAGCATTACCTTGAAAGAATGGCCTAGAATTATTGGCGACTTCCTATAGCAACCACATGAAAATCAGTACTTTCAAAATTCATTTCGAGTATCTGATGGCTTCTCTTCTACTGTCATCACAGAGATCTCTCCAATAATGGATTTGATGATTCAATTCCACCAGGACTGGGTGCCCTGCCAGATCTGAAACGCCTGTGAGTAATCATGTGGTTCTCTCTCCTTTTCTCTGCCTCTGATGCATGTGTTTCATTATGAGAAGCAATAACTTTATGCATGAATGCCAACTGTCTGATTTTTGGGGAATGTTTTAGGAGCTTGTATGATAACTCACTATCAGGGGGGATTCCGCATCAGTTGGGAAACAGCTCCAGCCTTGAGGAATTGTATGATATCAAGAAAGCCATCTTAGTTCTATTCATATTTTGGTTTACTGTTGTTATCAGTAGAATTTTTGAGTTTTTTTCCTCTCTAATCTAGGTATTTGATGGACAATTGGCTCTCGGGTCTGCTTCCGCCTGAGCTTGGGAACCTCACAGATCTTCGATATATGTATGTTACCTCCATGTTTGTTTTGTTATTTGACAAAAGANTTTCCTCTCTAATCTAGGTATTTGATGGACAATTGGCTCTCGGGTCTGCTTCCGCCTCAGCTTGGGAACCTCAAAGATCTTCGATATATGTATGTTACCTCCATGTTTGTTTTGTTATTTGACAAAAGGGGAGACTAAGATTTTGATTGTTATTTTATTGCAAAGACCCTGATAGACTAATCAACTATGCAAATATACCAAGTAAACCGCAGCAAATCGTTAATAAACTTGATTTTGTGAACTGTTCGTCTTAACTACTTCGGCTAAATCCTCCTCAATCAGTTCAGTTCTTGCAATTAACCATTCTATTCACTTCCTGTTGAGCCTAATATGCTTTCAATTTGATGAGATAGCCTTTGCATCAGTGCATTATTTGGTACTGGTCATGAGTGGCACTGCGATTGCTTCCTATTTTGTTTTCTCCTCTTGAAGCCATCACTGGTTTTCCTTGTTAGAGATATTACAAGTATATTAGCATTAGAGGTAGATTAGTCTTCTATATTACTATGTTTTGCCCTAGTATAAATTCGTTGTAATACTGGTTTACGCTAAATCAATATATTTTTCCTCTTTCATTGATAAACATCAACATGGTATTAGAGCCTTAATTCCTAAACTCAAATAATAAATTCAGGATTAAAGTCTAGAAGAAGAGAAGACCTGATGAACCCAACGACGTGAAGACCTAGTGAACCCGATGATTGACGCCATCATCGCCGGCGATGACATCATCAGTTTCCGACCATGAATACCACCATCTTGATCGATTCCTCGTGGACTTCACATTGGTGTGCTCCCTTTCTTGTTTCGAGTTCATCTGGTAAGTCTTCTGCCATCAGAGAACAACCCCGATTGTTTCGTTTCTGCCATCACAGTGCACCGACTGCCTCCCACTGTTTTGTGGTTGGATTTCTGCTTTTGTTTTGTGGATTTCTTGCATCGACTACCTTGTGATTTGTGGATTTCTTGTGGTTTGCTCCCTCTGTCTGTCTGCTTTGTGGATTTCTTGCAGTCGGCTGGCTGTTTCTTGTTTCTACTGTGTATTGGTTCTTGCTTCTGTTGCTTGGGGATTTCTATTTCTTGTGGTCACCTGGTGTTGCTGGGTATTGCTGGGTTGGATTGCTATTTGGTGTTGTTTAGTTGGATTACTACTTGGTTGCTGGGTTGGATTATTTCTATTGTCAGGTGTTGCTGGATTTATTTATTTTCTTTTTTTTGGGTATTATTTTGGTGAGATCGCTGGTTAACATTATGACAAGTGGACATTCTGATTATCTTCAACCTATTACTGTCAGATTAAATGGTGAAAATTATGTATATTAGTCTTATGTTATGAAGAATTTCCTGTTGGGGAAAGAGATGTGGAGTTATGTTAGTGGTAGTTTGCAAGCTCCAATAGATTTGAAGGAACAGAAATATGCTGAATTAAAAAATATCTGGGAAGTCAACAATGCTAAAATTATCACTTGGATCAACAATTCTGTTGATCAGACCATTGATATGCATTTGGCTAAGTTTAACACAGCCAAGCAGATTTGAGATTATTTAGCTACATTATTTGTTCAATCTAATTTTGCAAAGAGATATCAGCTTGAACATGAAATTCCAGCTGCACGTTAGGGTGATAAGACCATACAGGAGTTTTACTCGATTATGACTGGATTTTGGGATTAGTTAGCACTAGCTGAGCCAGCTAAATTGAGTACTCATATGGTATATCATACTTTTAGGAAGGAGCAGCGTGTTGATATAGTTTTTGATGGCTCTTAGAGATGACTTTGAGGGTCTTCGTGGTTCTATTCTCCATTGTCTTCCACTTCCCACAGTCGATGTAGTAGTGAATGGGCTTCTGGCTGAAGAAGTCCGTCTTAAGACTTTTTCTGGAAAGGGTTTTCTTTCATTGCCTAATCGGACTGTACTGGTTGTACCACCCAGAGGGACTCTTCATTCACAGACTAAATATCGGGGTCAAGTTGCTTCGGATGAATGTAGTTTTTTATCATGAGAAGGGTCACTAGAAGGTTCAATGTCCTAAATTAGTGAACAAGAAAGTCAAAGGGTCCTTACAACAACAATCATTTAGGCTCAACGATCGTCATACAACCGCAGCTACTTCACTAGTGGATGAGACACTCCCATTAGCTCCCAACATGACTATGATAGCTGATCAGTTGGAGAAGCTTCTTTCCCTTCATCAACCAGGTGCTCTATCAGTTTCTCCTTTTACAGGTTCATTTACTACTGGACCTTCAGGTATCTCTAGAACTGTCTGGGTCTTTGACTCAGGAGCCACCCATCATATGACTAGTAACTCTTTCTTATTTGTTTCTGTTGTTTCTCTTCCCTCTATATTTCTTCTTGCAGCCAATGACACCCAAAAATGTCTTTGACTGGTGTTGGTACTATCGTGTCTTTCTAGCTTACACTTCCTAATGTCTACTATATTTCTCAACTTACTTTAAATTTAATATCTATTAGTCAGTTGTTTGATTCAGGATTCTTAGTTCATTTTTCTTCTACTGGTTGTGTTGTGTAGGATCCACGGTCCAAGAAGCTGATTAAGACAGGCCATAGAAATGGAGGGCTATATATGTTAGACGAACTTCATGTCCCTGAAGTTGTTGCATCTACTGTTGATTTATCTTCTTTTTAATTGAGTCCAAAATTGTCTAGTTTTTATTTATGACATTCTCGCTTAGGTTATGTTTCCCATTTTCGTTTAAAATTTCTAGCTTCTACCGGTAGTTTAGGTAGTTTAGAGTGTCATGATATTTCAAATTGTAGTGGCTGCAAGTTGGCTAAATTTGCTGCATTAATAAAAGTAATTCTCGTTCCCTTGCACCTTTTGATCTTGTACATTATGATATTTGGGAACCAACTCCTATTGCTACTAAATGGGGGTGTAGATATTACGTTTCTTTTATTAATGATCATACTAGATATCGTTGGGTGTAATTAATGACACGTAGGTCTGAGTTCTTTTCCATTTTCTCTACCTTTCATGCTATGATGTGTACTCAATATTCTTCTATTATCAAATGTTTTCGCTATGATCAAGGTGGAGAATATTCTTTTAGTTTTTTTCGTGATTTTTTAAAATCTGATGGTACTATTTTTCAGTCTTCTTGTACTGACACACTTGCTCATAATGGAGTGGCAGAACAGAAACATTGTCACATTATTGAGACTGCTCGTTCTCTGTTGTTGTCATCCAGTGTCCTTAGCTCTTTTTGGGGAGAAATAGTTCTTACAACAGTTCATCTAATTAATTGCATTCTTATAATCCTTAATTCTGGTGTCTCACCTTTTGAAAAATTATGTGGTAAGACACCTGACTATTTCTCCTTACGTGTGTTTGGATGTATAGGTTTTGTTATGCTACCTAGTGTTAATCGTACCAAACTCTTGGCTCGTTCAGCCTTATGTATTTTTCTTGGCTATGGTGAGGGACAAAAGGGATTTCGGTGTTATGATACTAGTACACAGAAACTCTATGTTTTTTGTCATGTTGTTTTTATGGAGCATATTCCTGTTTTTTTCTCTATTCCATCTATTTCTTCATCTTTACATAAATCTGATCTTATATATCTAGATCCCTTTCCGTCTAATGTTTCTCGTGATTTTTATGTTAGTGATATGACTGTAGCTGATCTTCCTTCCCCTTCTTTTTCTTCGTCCTCTTTACCTGATTTGTCTGTTACCTGTCCCCTGATTATGCATACTTATGTTCTCAGGACTCCCACTATCTCCTCCACAGATATTGTGCCTTCATCTGCACCTCTTGGCTCCCAATCAATTTTTGACTCCGTGGATCATACTCTCCGTTACCCTCGATGCACTCGGAAGTGTCTTGACAGGTTTGGTTGGTCCAACTCTTGCTATTCTTCTGCTTTTTATTTTTTCCTGACATCTATACATTCTCTGTCTGAACCAACCTCTTATAAGGAGGCTATACTTGATCCTCTTTGGCAATAGACTATGGATGAGGAGCTTTCTGCACTTCATAAGACTCAAGCTTGGGAATTGGTGCCTTTACCTCCTAGTAAATGCCCAATTGGTTGTAAGTGGGTTTATAAAATCAAAACCCAATCTGATGGTTTTGTGGAAAGATACATGGCTAGATTAGTGGTCAAGAGGTTTGCTCAGGAGTATAGGCTTGACTATGATGAGACCTTTGCTCCATTGGCTAAGATGACCACGATTCGCATAGTAATTGTCATGGTAGCTGTTCGTCAGTGGAGTCTATTCTAGATGGATGTGAAAAAAACTTTTCTTCATGGTGATTTGTCTGAAGAGGTCTATATGACTTCTCCTCTTGGGTTGCCTTGTAGTATTGGTCATGTGTGCAAACTTCACAAGGCTTTATATGGTCTTAAACAGGTCCCGAGAGCATGGTTTGTAAAATTTTCTTCAGTCATCTATGACTTAGGCTTCTGTACTAGTGATCATGATTCTGCTTTCTTCCTTCAATCCACTTCTTTTGGTTTCATACTTCTATTACTTTATGTGGATGACATGATTATTACAAGTGATGACAATGCTGGAATTCAGTTGTTGAAAACTCAGCTACATGATTATTTTGAGATGAAAGATTTGGGTTCACTTCGATATTTTTTAGGGATTGAGATTGCTACCTCTCCTAAGGGTTATCTTCTTTCTCAATCAAAATATGCCTTAGATATTATTCAGCGAGCTGGCTTATCGGATACTTGAACTGTTGACACACCCTTGGAGCTTAATGTTCGTTATACTTTCTCTGATGGTTCTCTGCTGTCTGTTCCTACTTTATATCGTACTATCGTTTGGAGTTTGGTGTATCTTACTGTTACTCGTCTAGATATTGCTTATGCGGTTCATGTGGTTAGTCAATTTGTTGTTGTTCCTACCACACTTCACCGGTCTGTTGTTCTTCGTATCCTTTGATATTTACGAGGTACGTTACATCAAAGTTTATTATTTTCTTCTTCTTCGTCTCTGGAGCTCCGTCCTTACTCTGACGCGGACTAGACTGGTGACTCTATGGATCGCAAATCCACCTCTGATTTTTATCTCTTTCTTGGTGATTCTCTTATTTCCTGGAAAAACAAGAAACAAACTGTTGTAGCTCGCTCTTCTGCTGAAGTTGAGTATCGTGCTATGGCATCTACCACAGCAGAGATAGTTTGGTTGCGTTGGTTGCTTGCTGATCTTGGCATTTCCTTGACTACTCCTACTCCTATGTATTGTGATAACACCAGTGCTATGTAGATTGCTCACAACTCGGTGTTTCATGAGTGCACTGAATATATAGACATTGATTGTCACTTTGTGCGCCATCATCTTCAGCTGGACACGATCTTTCTCCCATATCTTTCTTCTAATATGCAGTTGGCTGATTTCTTCACCAAATTTCACACTATTGCCTGCTTTCGTTTTCTCCTTGGCAAATTCTTGATGTTGGATGCTATCACATCATGAGTTTGAGGGAGGATATTACGAGTATAGTAGCAGTAGGGTAAGATTAGTCTTTTATATTACTATGTTTTGCCCTAGTATAAATTCGTTGTAATACTGGTTTACGCTAAATCAATATATTTTTTCTCTTTCATTGATAAACAACAACATTCCTGAGTGGTTTTTTGTTTTATTCTTTGTATTTTCGCATATCCTAGACCAAATACAATATCAAAATTTACTTCCTTTTACTCGGTTTTTACTAGCAATTCAACATAAAATTTGTGAGAAAAACTGAAAAAAGATTCATAGAATTAAAAAAAAAAAAATTATTCAACCAGAATCATTTCTTCATAATGAATTATTGTACTTCCTGGTAAGTAGCATATTGGATATGACGTTGGTTTGCTCTTTCTTGTGAAAGTTTTCTGATTTCTTAGCCATTTTAATTTAGACTCATTTGTCACTTTTGAGATAATTTTATTTCCATTTTAATTAGGGAAAGAGTTTACATTATAATTGCTGACATTTTGTCAGAGGAAATATCTTAGAAAAATTGGGTGGGGTTGTCCGACTATTGTCGTATTGGAAGAGTAGGTTCTACTTATGATATATCAAGTTCTTTTTGAATTTATTCGAGTCATATTGAAATTTGGAAGGAAAGGTTATAATAAAATGGCTTGTAGTTTCCGATTTCTTGCATGACTAAAGCCATAATTCGGATTTCACCCAAATTTAAAATCAGATATAGTTTTCTCAAATCGTCTCCAGGAATGTCTTCATGTCTAGCCAACTTTGCAATGTGTAGGTCAGTGGTTAAAACAGAAACTTGGAATAAAAGGAGGAAATCACTCATTGGTAAACCCAAAGGGATGAAAGAGATAGGAGATGGGAAAGAATTAGGGCAAACTAGTGGTAGAGAGAATGATAGAGTTAATGAGAATCAAAGTGACAGATCTGTGTGATCTGCATTGCTTGGCGAAGAACCCTTTATATTTTGGTAACTTCTAAGTTAGGTGTTAGGCACCTGCCATGATGTGTGTGTTAGGGGCAGACGCCCTTGCACAGTATGTGTATGTGTGTCTGAAATTTATCTAAGGCCATTACTTGCTTTTGCAGCGTGACTGTACGTATTCCCAACAAAACTGGATAGGGTATGTTGCGAGTTCGAACTATGCCAGTTATGATTAGCTTGAATAGTACCAACTAATGTTAAAGTTGAGTTCTATCAAATCTCCCTGTGCGCTAATGTTAGCATCCTCTTACATTATCAGATATACAGTTGAAGTTGTCCTCTGCAATAATACCATATTAAGTTTGCAATAGAAGAAGAATGCAAACCATAAGAATCAAATAAGAGAGAAAATGGTAGAGTCGTTATGTGCGAAGAGTGATTGTTTTGGAGTTTGCAGGTTGCACTTGCACCCAGAAGGTTTGGGGGTGGGCTGAGCCCACCACGTAATTGAAGGCACGTGATCCATTGTTGAACAGTTATGTATGTTTATACATCCTGTTGCTTGCTGGTGGAAACAACTAACTTTTTTATCTTTCTTGTGCCAAAAATATGATGAATTGAGTGTGAGGCGTGGGCAGCCACCACATATCTTAGTGGCAGGCAACTGTCCCCACTCAATCTCATTGTGCAAAAATTTTTTATTCGTGTTCTAAGATATTTTTGAATTTGCCCCTCAAAAAAATTCTCTTGCACCTTAATCCTCTTAATTATCTCTCACATTTATATTCAACAATTAAAATCTTAATTAAGTAAACTTAACTAATATTTAGTTAATTGAATTCCCTAAACATGTTTTCAAAAATTATCCCAAAGGCCTTTATTCTTTCTCTACCCCCTATATAACCCACTTTTTCTCACCATTGTTAATTTGAATATACTGAGAAAAACATGTTTATCGACATTGATACTGAGTTATCATGCAACATTTATTAAATATGAAAAATAGTCGAGAAAAATTGCAAATGTATTGCTTACCAATATACATACGCTACTACCTAACGAAAAAAATATATACATAAGCTACCGTTTGGTAATGTTTTTTGCGTTGAGTTATCATGCAATGTTTTCAAAATATGAACATAAGTAGTGTTATATGCTTTATATTTAGCTTAAGGACCCTAAAACTCCATAATTCAACTTGGTAATTGAGCATCGATCCAAGTTTGAAGCCTTTAAATTGTCAAAAATAGTCAAAAATTATTGAACCTGAACAAGAGTTGTTGACATCAGCTTCGGATAATTGACGTTAGGGTTACTGTGTCAGAATTTTTGTAAATTCCCAAGGAAGACTCGCCTTGGTGCCCTGAGATTTAAGGTGAATTTTAAGAAATTTTTTGAAACCATCTAATAGGTCTTTCGATTTTTTGAAGGATTTTAGCGATTTTTTGGTTTCGAACTCAGATCCACTACAAACTTATTTTGATAAGTTCTGTACTGTTATGCTCTAGTATGGTTTTCTGCATTCAACCTCAAATCATTTTTTTCCACTGTTCTTCTACTTTTGTTATTATTCTTATTGTGTATTTTGATGATATTATCATTGGTGGTAATGATTCAAATGGTGTTGGCCACTTCAAGTTCATTTGGGAAAGAAATTTCATGCTAAAGACTTGGGTATTCTTGGATACTTTCTTGGGATTGAGTTTGCTTGATCAAAGGGGAGGTACTAGTTTGCGCCAACAGAAGTATGTGTTGGATTTAGTATATGAAATTGGGAGCCTAGTTGCACGTTCAATTGATACTCCTATTCACTCTACAGTTAAGTTAATTGTTGGAATGGTGAAGTTTTTGATCACATAGGGCACCATCGCAGGTTAGTTGGTAAACTGATTTATCTCATTATTATAGGTCCAAATATTACCTATGTTGTTAGTGTGGTTAATTAGTTCATGAGCTTCTCATAAACCTTATTGAGAGGTTGTCGTATTCTTCGATATTTAAAAAGAGAACTAGGTAAGAGATTGTTATATCGCCCTTCATTCTTCATGCTTATTATTAGCTTTTTTGATGTTGACTGGCCAGGTAGTTGTATTGATAGACAATATACTTTAGGTTATATACATTTATTGATGGTAATCTTGTTACTTAGCATAGTAAGAAACCGAATATGGTTATACGTTCAAGTGTAGAAGCTGAATAATAGGCCATAGCTCATATTGCATGTGAGATATTGTAGATTCATTCTCTACTTCCTGATATTAGTGTGCCCTATCCTATGGTGATGCATTGTGACAATTAGACAAGTATTTTCATTGTCAGTAATCTAATATTTCATGAAATGACTAAATATATTGAAATGTATTGATATTTTATTCGAGATCTTTTGATGTGTAAGGAGATTATTATACCATACATCAAGTCTAGTGATCTGTTGGGTGACATCCTTACCAAACTGTCGGTTCGTTATATCTTCAATAATCTTTGTTCCAAGTTGAAATTTTTTTATTTTTATTCTCTAGTTGAGGGGGAGTGTTAAAATTCTTATTTATATTATTAGTTGTGTAAGGTAATATTGGAATTTCTATAATATATTAGTTTACTATAAATAAGAAAGTGTAGGACAACATAACCCACACTGATTATTTACTCTTTTCTATTTTTCTTCTTCTCTCTTTATTTCTTACACCTTTACTATTTCAACTACATCATTTTATAAAATTGTGAGTATTCAGTTTGATGATAACATAAAATTGGGATTTTTCTAGTCATAGATATCGGGATTGTAGATCTCTCAAGCATCCCTGAACCGGAGTTGGTTTGTGACTAAGATCACCAAAATTTTCAACCCCAAATCATAACTCAAACTCCAATTATACCCCATGATCCAAGTCCTTCCTAAATATAACCTTAACCCAAATTGTAACCCCAACTAGTTATTTCATTATTGTAATGATATTTACTTAGGTTTCAATGTGTTGTACTTAATTTTCTGTATTAGAAATTGGTGACTTTGGCAAGTAAGTCCTCCTGATTCCATAAATCATAGATCCTTCCCCCACTTGGTTGATTACTACTCAGAGAGGACCTCGGTACATCGGCGGGATTCGTAATATCTCACGATTGGGCATTTTGTGCCAATATATTGAAGTACTATAGGGCCTCATCGGGAAAAATGGGTGACGGGTGAAAAACATATAAATTCATACACGATATATTTAATAAATAGGTGAAAAAGTTTAACACGAATACGAGCTATTTAATAAACGGGTAATACGACACAATCCGTTTAACCCGTTTAATTTTAAATGAATTATGTTGGGTAAAATCGATTTAACACAATAAACCATCTATTAGACCCATTTATCTATTTGTTTAAAAATACTATATATAACTATATAAAACTAGCACAAAAAAATTACCCACGCAAAAAGACTATTTTATTAAAATTTTAAACTCCATTAATTACCCACATTAGTTGTAATTCCTTAATTAAAAGATTTTGCAAGTGAGAAGGTTGAATGACAAAGGGAAGGGGTTGCAGCCTTTTATAGGCATGGGAGGTTTCCTTTATTTGAATTTGTCGATGTGGGATTCAAGCCAAAAGCTTATACTGTACTGGTCCATCAAAAAATACCAGCGCTGCAACGAGGGTAAGTGAGTACTCTTTACTTAATTTCCATCGGACCCTCATCCACTCAATATGTTCACTGTGCATGTTCATAAAAAAGAAGCCAAATGCTTTCAAATGCTTGTTCACTGCTTTTTTTTTTTTTAACTAAGATTTTTCTTTACTCATTTACCATATATTTGTATATAATATTTTAATTTTGACTAATTTTTTAAAAATAATTATTAATTTATTATTATATTAATTTTTTTCAAACGGATAAATAAGTGATAAAGGGTTTACAAGTTTCACTTGAACACTACCCGTTTATTAAATGTGCCTACCGGGTTAACCCGTTTATCATCCGAACTCGTTAATATCTCACAAAAATTCGCTTAATTCGTGTCGATTCATGTCTGTTAATCGTGTCACATCCGACTTTATCAGACCTAATTACCGGTATGTTGTCTTGGATAATGTTTGACTTAATTTGGAACTAATATAAAAAAATATAAAACAAATTGTAGGTATATAATTTCATATGTTAGTGGAAACAATGTTGATAAAAGTTACGCAACGAACCATAACCCAAAGTAGCATATCAACTAAGTATATTTCCATCACACCGTGTACCGGAGAAAGTATAGTACCATGGTACCTGTACCAGTCCCACGTGCCAAATCGACCCACTTTACCCGTAGCATTGTTTATAGTTCCCCCAGATGTGGATATGCTTCAAATTTGAGCAAAGAGCATATTTTTCTGTGCTCTTGTTTTTCTCCCTTGCTGTTTTGGTTTCTTTCTTGGTGGTCATTGCTCTGTGTGTGTGGTTGTACCGTGCCCAGCAAGAAGTTTTCGTACTCAAGCCAATGAAGGTCACGCAAAACATAGTGACTTTATTTGTGTTCCATCGTGTTGTCTGATTAATGCAACCGGCTAATGATTTCAGGCATCTGATGAACAATGAATTCAGTGGTGAATTGCATCCAAGCTTTAAGGAACTCAAGAACTTAACTTCTTTGTAAGTTGATGTAGATTTAACAGTGAATTGCCTTTAATATTCGATGACTATACAAGTAAAGTAATCTATATGAATCTTACTATGTAAATAATATTCTCATATATGTGCATATGTTTAATTGTATACTACATTGTATGCGATTGAGTTTGGAAGAAATGGTAAGTCCAGACAAGGATAAAAATAAGAAAGCAAACATGCAAAGACAAACATTACTTGAAAAAAGCAAAAAAAATATTTAGGAAGTGTTATCAATCAATACCTTATCTTTTTTTTAATGCTTGCTTTTTTTTTTCCATGCAGTGCTATTCATGAAAACAACTTCACTGGAACAATACCCGAGTACATATCCAACTGGACGCAACTTCAGATGCTGTAAGAATCCAATTGGATGGTTATCAGAATCGAAACATGTGAAACAACAGAAATTTCAAATTTTATTTGCACATTGGACCGTTGATCTCTGCAGGTCACTCATGGGAAACAATTTTAAAGAGCCTTTACCTGCTGCAATTTCAACATTAGAACACCTTTCTGTTCTGTAAGTTGTGGCAACCGCTGATGGCCTATATTCTTCGTTTTTTAACTTACAATATACTGCATGTCTCTTTATTCAGGGAAATTAGTGACTTAACTGCCAGCCCTCAAGGCATTTCATTCCCAAATATCTCAGGACTGACCAATTTGCAAAGCTTGTAAGCCTTCTAATGTGAATTTAAAGACTGCTCTTCTTAAGTGATGGCTATAATAGGATATTCTGATTATGTCAAATATCTTGGTCCTCCAGGACGCTGAGGAATTGCTCACTTGATGGTCTAATTCCTGATTTTATTTGGAACATCTCGTCACTATCATATTTGTAAGATAATTTTCTAGTGTATGGATTTCTAGTTTATTTTCCCCTAATGCAGTTGCACATGATTCATATTTAGTTGCTTCTGTTCTTTACTTATCTTTCTCTTTCACCTTTAAGTTCACTTATTTTGCGGGATGGGAGTGGGATTATTGTTACGGTCTACTCTCCCAGAATGTTATTTGGTGAAATTTTCAAAATTCGNTTTTTTCCCCTAATGCAGTTGCACATGATTCATATTTAGTTGCTTCTGTTCTTTACTTATCTTTCTCTTTCACCTTTAAGTTCATTTATTTTGCGGGATGGGAGTGGGATTATTGTTACGGTCTACTCTCCCAGAATGTTATTTGGTGAAATTTTCAAAATTCGCATCCAATTCTTCTGATTTCTAAGTTTTCCCGAGTACAAACAAAAAGATATATCATTATAATTTTGCTATATATTACAACAAGGATTAATTATTCCAAAAAATTATAACAATATTCGACATCTACAATTCCTCGAATATTTCAATCCCAATCTTTTCTCCAAAATCAATTCGTAGCTGGGAGGGGTAAATGGCAGTGAGTAAGATAGCTATTCAGGAAAACTATTCATAATATGATAGGAATCAAAGTTATTAGCAGACAGTAGAACATCTGAAAATACTGTCAAAGATATTATAATGCACAAGCNTCCCCGAGTACAAACAAAAAAATATATCATTATAATTTTGCTATATATTACAACAAGGATTAATTATTCCAAAAAATTATAACAATATTGGACATCTACAATTCCTCGAATATTTCGATCCCAATCTTTTCTCCAAAATCAATTTGTAGCTGGGAGGGGTAAGTGGCAGTGAGTAAGATAGCTATTCAGGAAAACTATTCATAATATGATAGGAATCAAAGTGATTAGCAGACAGTAGAACATCTGAAAATACTGTCAAAGATATTATAATGCACAAGCCAAATAAATTATATTCGATGTTTAAACAACCGACTTACTATCTCATAGCTTGTTGTCTTAGTAACATGACTANGCCAAATAAATTATATTCGATGTTTAAACAACCGACTTACTATCTCATAGCTTGTTGTCTTAGTAACATGACTAGTGACACCTAGTCTCACCTGACCTCCCTTGTCTTGGCCGGTGGTCATAGGAGTCTTGGCCTTTTGGACTATTGGCAACCTCACTTACAATAGATATGAATCAGTTCTAAGGCACTCTGATCAGAACAAACTCGAGACAACATAACAGTTAGGAATTTCAAAATTTTCACAATAAATTACAATTCAATCAAGAGAATTGCAAATTTATGATAATCAAGATAAACACTCTTTCCAAAGTGATTTAGAAGGAAAACATTTGTTCTTGTGCTCCATTTCGTTTCTTCTAGTCTTTACCCACACACATACACACACACAAATCAATGTATATCCAAAAATATCATGGAGGCACCATCACGGGACACGCCCATTAACCTGGATACCAATTTCTTCCTCGCTCTTTTCTTTTCTTTTCTCTGACTTTTACTCAATTTCTCTAGCTTTTAAACGTGCACAACACATTCACTTTTACCTACTCACCATTCTACATACTTATCAATTTAGGAAAATGCTACTTAGACTTAAAATATTAACTTGATTTGTTGACATAATCAATCATAACCATTGAATAAATAATAGATTCCAGCAAATAAACCAACAATTAAATCAATGATAGTGATTGATCAAGTCAACATTTTAAGTTAAAGTAGCATAACTCATCCATTTGTACACTTTGACGCAAGATACTTGGCCTTACATCACATGCACCTACTGGACACTTGTAACACATGCAATTATTTTAATAACACAGCCAAAAACACTTACATGTACATGCACAGATGGATGATTTCGTGAAGATCCTATTCTTATTAGCTTCCCTCCTAACCTATACAATCATAATAAAACCCTGAATAAGAATTTGAATATTTTACAATCTATAAATTAACCCCAATAAAGTGTAATACTATTTCTTATCGTTAATGATTATTATTATTATTATTTTCCCTGGATTCCGCAAGTTTAGCTATTGAGTGCTTCCAGTTTATTATATCATCAGAGCACAAGTCTTTTTTGTTTGTTTTGTGAGTGAAAGAGAAGAGGGGGGGTGCGGGGGTTATGTTGTACATTTCTTTCCTATCTTAAACTCTATCTTCTCCCCTGCCTCCAAAAGCGTTTCCTTAATCCCAAGCCATTCTTCAAAGGACAGCAAACTTTTCATGACTGAAGGCAGGCTTGGCGTGACATCAAATGCTTCTGCTCTAAATGTTTGCGTCAAGGAATACTCGAGTCCTGATTTATTCCTCAGTTGTCTTACTTGCTACTTGTTTTCAATACAGGGACTTGAGCTTCAATAGTTTGATTGGTGAAATTCCACCCGCCGTTAATCTGTCGTCCCTGAAATACATGTAAGAGAGTTCAGTTTCCAAATTTCTCTTTCGATTTAAATTCTTCCTCNCGCCGTTAATCTGTCGTCCCTGAAATACATGTAAGAGAGTTCAGTTTCCAAATTTCTCTTTCGATTTAAATTCTTCCTCCTGTGGATGATCTGTTTGGCCGTCTCATGGAAAAAGGATCTATCTGTGCTCTTACTTCATAGAATTGTCTATAAATCCACATGGTCCATTCATATTCTCCAACACAAATCTACCAACTTTTTTGCATTGCTTAAAATTATGTCCTTCAATTGCCTTCATATACCATCAAACCTTATATAAAGTTTAACGAGTAGTTTGTTCATTGCATGTGCTGAAATGATTCTTGTGTATCATCTGCTTGGTTGAAATACGTAATCTAAGCTTATATTTATTATATTTGTCAGATTCCTGAAAAGAAATAAGTTCAATGGATCACTCCCACGATGGCTGACATATTACAATCATTTATATGTGTAAGTGTTTTTTTCTATAATTGATATGTATTCTCATGATAATTGTTAGTTATTAGTGAAATGCTATTATTTCCTATCAATTGTTTGCATCTTTTAGTTGATGGGTGCCTAATCAAATGGACTCAGGTATTTTTGTTGAGTATGGGTGGGTCTTGTAATGTCTCGATTTCCCGGCATATCATTCGGTAAAACTGAATTTTTTTTTTATCAAGTTGTACATTTCAGAGCACTAATACCTTAGTCAAATATAATAAAACCTCTCTGTAATTTGATAACAATTGTCAAATATCATTAATTTACACGAATAATATAAATAATCCCAAAATCTCTAAATTCTTCCATTTTCAATCACACTTTATTTTGGATCTAAAATCGACCTGCAACTGAGGGGAGTAAATATGGGGTTGGCTTAGTAAAACTACTCAAAATATGGCACGAGTACAAATGAACATGATAATCAAACAATCCGAAAATTTAATCGAATAAAAATTAAAGTAATTGTGACACAAGAGCCAACAAATAATAAATATATTTCATCAATATAACAAGCAACAAACAGCCTCACCTCACCATACCACTCCTGCATCTGGAATATTGACATCTGAACTCTTTGTTGCAGGCAACTTACTGATGGCTGCACTTTAAAGTAAGTACCGAATTGTCCCCAAACTAGTAATCGGGAACGATAAAAGATTTTCATGCAATTTTGAAATAACCACAACATATTCAAGAAGATTACAAACTCAGAATAATTAAGATAAGCAATTTACAAAAATATTCAAAATTAAAACATGTAAATAATCTTGCTTATCCACACACACAACATCAGATTCTATTTGGAACAAAATTCCTTCTTAGCAAGGATCAAAATATCGTTTCGAAATGATCGAAATATCCGAAACGTTTCTATTTCCAAAACGACCTAAACGAATTAGTAAAAGAATCAAAATTCTAATATTTCGAGATTTTTCATAATGTTTCGAGATGTATTATAATATTTCAATGCATTTGAATGTTTGAAGGTATTTCAAGATATTTTGATATATTTAGATCAATATTTTAGAAAAATAATTCTTAAATTTTTTATTTTTTTCATTATATTTCTGAAACAGGTCGAAACGTTTCCGAAACACATCGAAATGTTTCCGTTTTTTAAGTGACTGAAATAATACACCAAAACAAAATTTTTGATTTTTGCTTCTCAGCACCTTGAATAGCCCAAGCCATGGCAGCCCAAACTTCTATTTTCTCTTTCCTTCTTTATTTGTCTTCTCCACCTTAAGTTATCTCCTAATCTTGTAATAAACACAAACACGTGGAAGCCATGTTTCCTAACCAGTATACATGCAGACATGTTTGGCCACACGACCATTTCCATGCGTTAATATCCCCCTTAATCTCTAGGAATATTATTCAACCCTGAACAAGAATTTTAAAATTTTGGTGGATATAATTTGATGCAATACAAATAACACTCTTTATTGTTATTCTTTGTACAAATGGACCTATCAGAGTTATCAACTAAACCACTAAAGACTTGATCCCACCTTTTCGGGATTGGTTACTTTTCAGTACCAACCTGAATTAACTGCTTCTTACTACTATATTACTTTGTATATATTGCATATGTTCAAACCCCCTCCTAGAGGACTTTCCCACTCATCCTCAATGTATACCATTAACTTTAATGAATCCAAATAGTTCACTTTATCTCTTTTAAGGGTATTTCTATTCGATTCGTATGCATCATTCCCTTCACCTCTCTTGATTAGGCGAAAATGAAGTGCTCAGTTTCACTTTTTCCAAATATTTGGGCTCCAGCTCTATCTATCGCCTGACACCCTAAATATGGACTACATCAAGAGGCTTCTTTCTTGAGTGAGCACTTGGGGCATTTATACTACTTGCAAACTTAGTTGCCTTGGGATCCAGACACCACCAACATCAACTTGTGCCCATTCACTCTTGATGCATATTCAAGAAATGTGCATTTCTAAAAACTAAACTTACATCTTACTCCAGATGCATATCTGAAACATATACATGGTCTTTAGTTCAAACTGAAGCTTCTCTTTATTGACAAGAGCATATGCTGGATATCCAGAAACTTTACAAGTTATGTAATCGGCTGTGATACAAGTTCTTTTTCCTATATCTTTTGGAGTTTTACACTCATGAGCACCAGATGGAAACTTATTCACTAACAGGTGGCGATGCTACCACTTTAGCGCTAAACCCTGTAATAACTAGGCTACATGTATATGCTGAGATCTTCTTAAAGGACCTTCATTCGTGCGATTCGGATTTTGTGCCAGTGTGTGCCTGAAGTCAGAATACCTCTTCATTCCTAATACATACTCGTCAAATCTACTGAACGCAACTGTAAGCCGGTATTAGTTCTAAGTTGTTTACTTGTTTTTCTGATCTGTCTCCCAACAATAGGGTCCCACTATTAGACCTAAGGGGCACAACATCCAACCTTGTTTCAGTAGCCATAAATGAAAGCCAAGTGATACCAAGATCTGCCAGTAGGAAGAACGGATATAAGTCAGACGACCTTTGCCTAATGCACAACAGTATTGAGCCTGTCTCTGGATATAATTTAGAGCAACAGCAAAGANTGGCAGTGAGTAAGATAGCTATTCAGGAAAACTATTCATAATATGATAGGAATCAAAGTTATTAGCAGACAGTAGAACATCTGAAAATACTGTCAAAGATATTATAATGCACAAGCCAAATAAATTATATTCGATGTTTAAACAACCGACTTACTATCTCATAGCTTGTTGTCTTAGTAACATGACTAGTGACACCTAGTCTCACCTGACCTCCCTTGTCTTGGCCGGTGGTCATAGGAGTCTTGGCCTTTTGGACTATTGGCAACCTCACTTACAATAGATATGAATCAGTTCTAAGGCACTCTGATCAGAACAAACTCGAGACAACATAACAGTTAGGAATTTCAAAATTTTCACAATAAATTACAATTCAATCAAGAGAATTGCAAATTTATGATAATCAAGATAAACACTCTTTCCAAAGTGATTTAGAAGGAAAACATTTGTTCTTGTGCTCCATTTCGTTTCTTCTAGTCTTTACCCACACACATACACACACACAAATCAATGTATATCCAAAAATATCATGGAGGCACCATCACGGGACACGCCCATTAACCTGGATACCAATTTCTTCCTCGCTCTTTTCTTTTCTTTTCTCTGACTTTTACTCAATTTCTCTAGCTTTTAAACGTGCACAACACATTCACTTTTACCTACTCACCATTCTACATACTTATCAATTTAGGAAAATGCTACTTAGACTTAAAATATTAACTTGATTTGTTGACATAATCAATCATAACCATTGAATAAATAATAGATTCCAGCAAATAAACCAACAATTAAATCAATGATAGTGATTGATCAAGTCAACATTTTAAGTTAAAGTAGCATAACTCATCCATTTGTACACTTTGACGCAAGATACTTGGCCTTACATCACATGCACCTACTGGACACTTGTAACACATGCAATTATTTTAATAACACAGCCAAAAACACTTACATGTACATGCACAGATGGATGATTTCGTGAAGATCCTATTCTTATTAGCTTCCCTCCTAACCTATACAATCATAATAAAACCCTGAATAAGAATTTGAATATTTTACAATCTATAAATTAACCCCAATAAAGTGTAATACTATTTCTTATCGTTAATGATTATTATTATTATTATTTTCCCTGGATTCCGCAAGTTTAGCTATTGAGTGCTTCCAGTTTATTATATCATCAGAGCACAAGTCTTTTTTGTTTGTTTTGTGAGTGAAAGAGAAGAGGGGGGGTGCGGGGGTTATGTTGTACATTTCTTTCCTATCTTAAACTCTATCTTCTCCCCTGCCTCCAAAAGCGTTTCCTTAATCCCAAGCCATTCTTCAAAGGACAGCAAACTTTTCATGACTGAAGGCAGGCTTGGCGTGACATCAAATGCTTCTGCTCTAAATGTTTGCGTCAAGGAATACTCGAGTCCTGATTTATTCCTCAGTTGTCTTACTTGCTACTTGTTTTCAATACAGGGACTTGAGCTTCAATAGTTTGATTGGTGAAATTCCACCCGCCGTTAATCTGTCGTCCCTGAAATACATGTAAGAGAGTTCAGTTTCCAAATTTCTCTTTCGATTTAAATTCTTCCTCTTGTGGATGATCTGTTTGGCCGTCTCGTGGAAAAAGGATCTATCTGTGCTCTTACTTCATAGAATTGTCTATAAACCCACATGGTCCATTCATATTCTCCAACACAAATCTACCAACTTTTTTGCATTGCTTAAAATTATGTCCTTCAATTGCCTTCATATACCATCAAACCTTATATAAAGTTTAACGAGTAGTTTGTTCATTGCATGTGCTGAAATGATTCTTGTGTATCATCTGCTTGGTTGAAATACGTAATCTAAGCTTATATTTATTATATTTGTCAGATTCCTGAAAAGAAATAAGTTCAATGGATCACTCCCACGATGGCTGACATATTACAATCATTTATATGTGTAAGTGTTTTTTTCTATAATTGATATGTATTCTCATGATAATTGTTAGTTATTAGTGAAATGCTATTATTTCCTATCAATTGTTTGCATCTTTTAGTTGATGGGTGCCTAATCAAATGGACTCAGGTATTTTTGTTGAGTATGGGTGGGTCTTGTAATGTCTCGATTTCCCGGCATATCATTCGGTAAAACTGAATTTTTTTTTTATCAAGTTGTACATTTCAGAGCACTAATACCTTAGTCAAATATAATAAAACCTCTCTGTAATTTGATAACAATTGTCAAATATCATTAATTTACACGAATAATATAAATAATCCCAAAATCTCTAAATTCTTCCATTTTCAATCACACTTTATTTTGGATCTAAAATCGACCTGCAACTGAGGGGAGTAAATATGGGGTTGGCTTAGTAAAACTACTCAAAATATGGCACGAGTACAAATGAACATGATAATCAAACAATCCGAAAATTTAATCGAATAAAAATTAAAGTAATTGTGACACAAGAGCCAACAAATAATAAATATATTTCATCAATATAACAAGCAACAAACAGCCTCACCTCACCATACCACTCCTGCATCTGGAATATTGACATCTGAACTCTTTGTTGCAGGCAACTTACTGATGGCTGCACTTTAAAGTAAGTACCGAATTGTCCCCAAACTAGTAATCGGGAACGATAAAAGATTTTCATGCAATTTTGAAATAACCACAACATATTCAAGAAGATTACAAACTCAGAATAATTAAGATAAGCAATTTACAAAAATATTCAAAATTAAAACATGTAAATAATCTTGCTTATCCACACACACAACATCAGATTCTATTTGGAACAAAATTCCTTCTTAGCAAGGATCAAAATATCGTTTCGAAATGATCGAAATATCCGAAACGTTTCTATTTCCAAAACGACCTAAACGAATTAGTAAAAGAATCAAAATTCTAATATTTCGAGATTNACAAAATGAGTCATTATAAAAAAGCTCACTATAAATTTATCTATAAGACTTCACAAAAACCTTTTGAACCAAAAAATTGGGCTCAATCATAAATTGAGTTTATACAATGGAAGATCCAAATTATTTAACATATATTGAGTCTATTCATTAGCAATGGTATTTGAAACCTCTTTTTTAACATATGCAACCTAGTAATTGTTCAGTTATTAATCTCCCATTTGATTGCACAGTCAATTTTTTTTACTATATTCATTGCTAAAAAGGCTTTTTCAAATGTTGTAGTTGCAACTGGAAGATCAATGCTAGTTTCACAAGTAGATGCAATAGTGGATATAAGACATTTTGTGTCTCAACTCACTTCTCTGCAAGACCACTAATTCCTTTAACTTCTGAAATTTATTGGTAAAATTGATTGTTTGCACATCAAGTGTGTATGTTTCAAGTTGATTGTCAAGTATCTTAAGGTCCATTATGCAATATTCTAAAGGGTAAAATTGAGCAAGACGAATCAACTTCTCTTTACTAAAAGCGCAGAATGAATCACTTGGCTTTAGCCATGCCACAAAAAGAAGTAGCTCAATGTTCACCTTTGTGAAATGATTGTTAAGCTCTTGAAATTGCATATCTACCATTATATAAAATAATCTACCCCCAAAAGGGTAGATTAGTGACTTTACGTTATGTTGTGACTTTCCTCGACCTATATATCATCCAAATTGAAAAGAACAATATCATGTTTTCCACAAAAAGATGAAACCTCGGTGACTAAAGCTTCCCAACTATCATTCCTTTTCATTTGTAGTTGTTGATTCGATGCCTTGAGTAAGCTCAAAGCATTTACTATGTCTTGATCTTTTTTTTTTTAATGCTTGTAGTTGAATTAATAAAAGCGATATTAGGATTCCTAGAATTAGAGAAAAGTAGAGAACAAGAGAAGAGACGTTAGAGAGAATAATTTGTAGTGTAAGTTTAGGTTGTCATACATTCTTTTATTTATAACTATGTAATATTAGAGTAATTATAATATTACTCTACACAAATTACTTGTTTTTAATATATAAAATAAGAACTTTGACACTTTCCCTCAAGCTAGAGCATATAGATAAAAAAATGTCTAACTTAGAACATAAACTACTATCACTTAGTTAATCACTAGATTTGATAAATGGAGTGATGATCTCAAGGGATTTTGATTGAATGATAATCCACTTCAATGTGTTTGAGACGTTTATGAAATACTATATTATTTTCAATGAAAATAGCTGCTTGATTATTACAGTGCATCTTCTTGGGGGAGGACACATCAAGTCCCATATCACGGAGTAAAGATCAGACCACATATTACAAGCAGTATGTGCCATAGAAAGATACTCAACATCTATACTAGAACGGGCAACCACGTTCCATTTCTTATTACGCCAAGTAACAAGTTTACCATCAATACTCGGACGTAGTTCGTCTATCACTATGATTACCTACCCAAATGAACATCAAAAAAATAAAAAATAGTTATGGATGATGATGAACGATATAATAAACTCTTCTCCGGAGCCCCTTCCAGATACCGAAGTACATAACTTACAACCTCCTAATGAGGCTTACGAGGGGTATGCATGTAGTGACTAACCACACCAACGATATATGTGATATCAAGGTGTGTATCTGTAAAGATATATGAATTTACCAACCAATCGCCGATATCGCCCTATATCATCAAAGACTTCTCCACTCTTAGGATCTGGCTTACTGCAGGGTTCATAGGGTATCAATCAGACGTTCACCAAGAGTACCTGTTTCAAATAGTAAGTCTAGTACATACTTTTTTTTATACTAAGGATTAAAATTTTGTTTCAGTGCATATTTTCGGTAAGTTTGAAAACAGAAACATTTCGGAAATAAGATGGAAATAAAGAAAAATTTGAAAATTTATTTTTAAAACATTAGTCAAAACATACCGAAACATTTCAAAATATAAGTCAAAATATACTGAAACATCTCAAAACCTGAAACATAGGAATTCTATATTCAATCAATGATTTGTTTTGGTCTCCATGGAAACAAAAACATTTCAGACGTTTTGAAATGAAATTTAGTTCCTTGATTGACACAAACTGATACACCCTCATTTGAGTAGGCAACCTTAATTCCTAGGAAGCACNTTATTTTTAAAACATTAGTCAAAACATACCGAAACATTTCAAAATATAAGTCAAAATATACTGAAACATCTCGAAACCTGAAACATAGGAATTCTATATTCAATCAATGATTTGTTTTGGTCTCCATGGAAACAAAAACATTTCAGGCGTTTTGAAATGAAATTTAGTTCCTTGATTGACACAAACTGATACACCCTCATTTGAGCAGGCAACCTTAATTACTAGGAAGTATCGAAGAAGACCTAAATATTTTGTATGAAACTACTTTCCTAAATGGGCCTCGAAGTTAGCAATACCATCGGAGCCATTCCTACTAATGATGATGTTATCAAATCCTATTTTAAAAAAGTGCATAAAACAGGATTTAGATTAGATTAAGATTTATGATTGAAGGTTTGATTTTTTGGTGAACCTGCGAGTAATGAGTGTGAAAAGATAGAAATTAGGGTTGTATACAAGTGTGATATGTGTGTTGTTCTGTGGGTGTGGGTGTGGATATGTGTGCGATTTGCTTGTGTATACTGTGGGGTTGTGCGCGTGCATGAGGGGTGTATGTGTGTTGTGCTGTTTCTGTGTGTGTATGTGTGTGTGGG